CTTTCTGTTCGCTACTCGAAAAAATGCATCGCGCAACGACGGGGAGGCGAAAAGAAAAGGACAGAAGAGTCGCCACCGAACTTTATTTATCCCATGAGGGGAAAGGAAAATATCGAGAAAACCTTAAGAAAAGAATGGATAAGATGATCTCGCAACCCTGAACGGGTTCGGAAGCCGGTTATGCGAGGGGAAGGTATTAGCACCCCTCGCATCCATCGTACTCGATGGGAACCTTTTGTTTGTCGATGTGTGATTTTATCTGCTTAAGTATTATGCTAAAAAGAGTGTGTTTCAAAAGGGTTAAGGGAAAGGTTTAGAAACGGGAAACAAGGGGTGACGAGGGAAAGAAAGGACTCGATAGGACTTCGCGGTCCTAGGCCTACGTATTCTCAACAGATATGAGAAAGTCAGAGTCGACGTAGTTCGGGAAACTACAGATGATATGGGGGGATTGTGCTCGGCAAGGATTGTGGCCCTTGTGCCTACGTATCTTTACTTGAACGAAGTAAAGAATCAGAGCAGCCGTAGTTCGGCCTACGGTGTGTTGATGTTTTTTATGAATGATGCTGTCGTGCGCATTCTAGCAGTTAGGTGTTTTGCTGCTCGCTCGTTGGAGACTTAGGCGTACCTGTTTGCGGTAGAACGGACGTAACATATCCTTTTTGAAAGATTGATTAGTTTTCGCCGCGCGGGGCAAGAAGTCACGTTTGATTGGTTGAATTGTTTTTTAGGGGGGCGAGACAGGTCCTCGGATAGTAACCCCTACGGGTAGTACCCAATTTGTTATCTCAAAGTTTTTGTTATAAAAATTGTGTGGTGAACGAGGCTTCTTCGTATTGAAAGACGAGCGTCGAAACCACCCTCACTACAGTGGGCATCCCAACACTCGGAGAAGAAGAGGTCTACACCCAATCCTCTCTCTTTAATTCAATGCAAAGAGAACTTCGTTCTCTTATTAAAGATGTTTTTGGTTTTGAATGGTAAGTGCTTTTGCGACAGAGAACCCTACGGTGAACGTCAGCACTCGGGATAGGAGAAGGCCTACGCCTAACCACTCCACGACCATTCAAGTTTTGTTATGAAAATGATTTGAAAATGCACTCGGCGCGGGACCGAGGTTTTAGGTGAGAAAGGTTACGGGATGAAGTTGTAAAAGCGAGATGGTTGATAAAAGCGCGTCTTCGTATCGAAAGACGAGTGTCGAGACCACCCTCACTACAGTGGGCATCCCATCACTCGGAGAAGAAGAGGTCTACACCCAATCTTCTCTCTTTAATTCGATACAAAGAGAAATTAATTTATTATTGAAAGTATACTCAGTACGAGACCGAGGTTTTATGAGGAAATGATGAAGCGTCTTTGTATTGACAGACGAGCATCGAGACCACCCTCACTACAGTGGGCATCCCATCACTCGGAGAAGAAGAGGTCTACACCCAATCCTCTCTTTTTTAATTCAATACAAGGAATTGATTTTAAGGAGATGAGATTTGAAAATGGATGGGAAGCGTCTTCGTATTGAAAGACGAGTGTCGGAACCACCCTCACTACAGTGGGCATCCCAACACTCGGAGAGGAAGAAAGTCTACACTTAATCCCTTCTTTTTATTTCAATACAAAGAGAAATGATTCCTTATGAAAGGAAATTTAAAAATGCACCCGGCGCGGGGCCGAGGTTTTGAAAGAGAAGGTTGAAAAGAGAAAAGCGTCTTCGTATGGAAAGACGAGTGTCTAAACCACTCACGCTACAGTGAGCATCTCGACACTCGGGGAGGGAGAAAGTCTACACTTAATCCCCTCGTTTAATTCAATACAAAGATGATTTGTTTCCTTATTAAAAGGGTAAAAAATGGCTCGACTAATCGAGAATTATTCTTAAAAATGATTTTAATGTATAAAACAAAATTAAAGAAAAAGTGATAAAAATTATTACAACCGGAGAAAAAGAAGTACCTTGCTATCGAATGGGAAGAAATAACGCAAACATAAGTGCATATCAATATTGACTTGAATTTGTGAAGCATTTTGGTCTTCGGCCCACTTCATTTATCAAAGCCAAAAGAGAAAAAATTATTTGAACCACTTAATTAGTTTAATCTAATTTAATTATTAGAATTATTTGATTGACAACTAATGTGATCAAATAATTAAATTAATTAAAATTGATTAAAAGGATCAAATGATTTGAATTCCATTAGCTAATTAATTATGTTAATTAAAATTAATTATCTAAATTATCTGATTAACTCAAATAATTAAGTTAATTAAAATTTATTAACAAAATTAAAATAACCAAATCCAAAGAAATAATAATCAATATCAAATTAACTATACTTTAATTTCAAGCAGTTGCCATATCACCGAAATATACACAGCCCCCTCAAAGTAGCAAACTTGATATTTAATTTGGAACACGTCAATCGTTATTGCAAATCTGGGTTAAAATGGTGCAAAACCAAACAATTACGTCGTTGCTTCAATCGGAGCCTCAACTTAAAGATGGAATCTGAAATTGCTGCCTGTTGTTTATCGTTGGAAATAGTGCTTTTAAGATATTATTATCTCGACACCGGACGGTCAATACAACAACATTTCTTGGGTGAAGAAGTTTTAATGCAGGCTGAATATTGAGATCACCCATGAACACCTTCTGGCTTACATCTAACTCACTTAAATCCACTTCAGTATATGGGGGGAATTTAGTAGAAGGGAAGTCATGAGGCTTAGATAACAACACGATGCCGCTTTCATCAACGTTGCTGCCGAAAACCTACATATTGGCCTGCTAAAGATGAAAATGCAAACCTTCCTCCTTCATCCTTGTTTACGATTCTCTTTCGGCGGTGTCGCAACCTGCATAAAACCAACAGCCCACACCAAAATAGAAAACAGATGCGGTAAGAAATGAAAATCACAGCAACATACTTGAACTTGTGAGACTTGTGATTTATCCACTTTTACTCCTCTAGGATGTGGCTTGTGCTCATCCCAAACTCTACACACGTGATTCTCCCGATGTCACTCGCGCGCCGCGGTTTTCTCCGAGTTATGTTGTCGTTTCTGAATTCAGTGGATGAATTTGTAATTTTGACTTGTTGATACTAACCATATCCATGAGGGTTTTTGCTAGCCCAGGTCCATTGATCACGGCACATATCACCGATGCCATATTTAGCTTTCCAGTTTAGTTCTTTTTCTGCTTTTGATGTTGATCCGTAAATAGTTTCGGCATCTCCAGGTTTCCGACCAGCTTTTACAATTGGAATTTTCTTTCCAGAGGCCTTTTCAAAAGTTGTAACCATCTCGAAGACTGATGTTCCTTTTCCTGTTCCCAAGTTGGAAACCTCACAACCTGTTTTAGGATCATCTAGTTTACGCAATGCAGCAATGTGCCCATCTGCTAAATCAACAACATGAATATAATCATGAACTCCAGTTCCATCAATTGTACTATAATCTGTTCCAAAAACTGTCAGTGCGGAGCGTCTGCCAACTGCAACTTGCTGAACAAACGGCATGAGGTTGTTAGGAATTCCGCGAGGATCCTCACCGATATGACCACTAGGATGAGCACCAACTGGGTTGAAGTATCTCAACGGTGTTATTTTCCATTCTGAATCTGCATGGTAGATATCACGACAAATTTCTTCGTCATAAAGCTTGGTTCGTCCATACGGGTTTACTGCGGATAAAGGGAACTCTTCGGTACAAGGGACTTTTTTCGGCCAACCATATACAGTGGCCGAAGAGGAGAACACAAGCTTCTTGCATTCGTGGGCAGCCATGACTTCAAATAGAACAATTGTCCCAATCAAGTTGTTGTTATAGTACACCATTGGTTTCAGCACACCCTCACCTACTGCCTTTAGGCCAGCAAAACGTATGACCGCATCAAACTTTGTGGAAAAAAAATCTTCTCCAATTCATCTCGGTTCCGCAGGTCAAACGACACGTGAGCTGCTGCCGATTTTGGTAGTTTGCGTTATGAATTCATTCACGAACAAATTGAAATGTTATTGCTATTGCTGCGCTGAAAATTTTTCACCGAGAATCGAATCAGATGCGAGTTTGATGCGCGAGCTTGCGTCAATGCTATTAGAACCAAAACGCGTTGCTATGGTTCCGTGCCGAGAGCTGAAGTCAGCTGAACCTATTCCCGTGTAACAGGTTTGGCGATGTCGCAACCGAAATGTCAAAACAATGTCAGGATTGATTGATAATAACCGCTGTTGTTGAGACTCAATGCGGTTGTCATCGAATAATGGAAGCTGCTACTGAATTTGTTATGTTATGAGAAGTTGTGAGGTCGATGTCAATGAAGCAGATGAAACTTCCAAACAGTGTAGTCGAAGCCGTAAATGTTTACCATTTGCAGGGTACCATCAGTGCAGTCTGTTATCAACAATCTTAAGGACTGTAGCTGCAGCCTTGCAATAAACTGACTCAAACGAGATGAAATTTGACCCAAACAAGTCACCGATGAAAACGTCAATGGAGTACACGAGTTGCCGCTGACATGATCATTGCGGTTAAGCTTGTCGTAAACCAACTTGTTGTTGCTTTCTCAATCTCAGACAGTGAAAATGTTTTAACAGAGAGAATGGAAGTAGGCATTGTAGACATGAGGGACACCGATGTCGAGCTCGTAATACTGCTTGACAGCATAGACCCCAAGCCAGATTTCTGGTTCAGGGAAGATGTAAATGCTGGGCCAACTGTACTTGATAGTCTTCTAGTCTTCCTCCATTTCAGAGCAACAGAAAATGCTCCAACCAAAACCCAAGAGAACAAACGAAGACAAAGCAATGATGATTATAGTTCTAAGATTTGTTTTCTGGTTCTTGCTAGCAGAATTGGCACTCACTGGCAAACTACCATCAACATTTTCACTAGGACCGCTCCCGATTGAAGTTCCATGTGGTGGTGGAGATGGAATTCCTGGATATGTAATGTACACGACAGCATAATCACCAGAAAGGATCTTATTTAGAGGAACTTTTTTATGCCATAACCTCTCGTATGTCAGGGCTGAACAAGTCATCATCGCCATTATATGCACAAAGGGAGTGATACCTATATGCAGCAATTGGGGCAGTAGGATCTGCTTCCCTTGGCATTATCTCTGAACCTCTGCCTTCACTTATCATTTTGGCAGCCAAGTCAATCATAGCAGCTGTCTGAGGGAGTGTGGACTGATATTCCCTATCACTAACTGGAGCCTGCAAGATTGCAGCACGAACAGCTCGGGAGCAAGCAAAATTTGTGCGCATGTAGTTCACAATGTCCTGACAGCCAGTACTATGCCCAAGTAATGCCACACCTTCAGAATCTTCTTCGTTAATTAAATAATTAATAAGCTGATCCAGATCCTTAGCATCTTGTTGCAAGCTGGAAGTGCCATATCCACTATAAGAATATGACATAAGAAATTGAACTAGTGACCAATTCTCGCGGTCCAGCGCAATTGCTAGAGGTTCTAAATATGCGGTAGCAAGAAACCCATCTGTTAATCCACCAATAAAAATAACTTGTCGTTTGAATTCGCCACTTTTGAAGGCAACCTGAATAGGATTTGGACCGTATTTGAAAAGAGCTCCTCGGAGTTGATTTTTGTGGATGACGGGACCGGTAACATCTGCAGAAGCGGAGACATGAATGTTATGACTCTTCCTGAAGATAGCATCACGCTCGAGTGGTTTATTTTCTTTCTTCAGACGAATGGACTCATCATAACCGGCTTGGACTTTTTCAATTGTCTTCGATGTTGAACTTCGGAACACGCTGAATCCACCAACAACTTCAGAAGAGGTTTTCTTTCGCTTCCTTTTCTTCGAAGACACAGCTTCTATTGTTTCCTTAATGCGGATAACTCCATCAAATTGAAAACATTTCATTTCAATATCCGCCCTGATTTTCAATGGCTGAGGGGTCATCCGTCTTCTAATGTTCTTCACTAGAGAATGCTTCACTTCTTCAGAAACAGCAGGTACCCCCTTGGTCACCTCTTGTCCATCAGGACCAACTTCCTTAATTTCCCGCATAAGTGTGCTCAAAACTGTATCTGGATCAGTCACAACTATTTTGAAAGCCTCGAAGGCGTGTCCATATTTGCGGTACAAAGGCCAAGCAAGGTGAATATAAAGGTCCTCTAAATCGAGATTCAAGGTTTCAGCAACATGACGCATAATAGAGTGGACAAGTTTACTCTTATTATACCTTTCTTCACAAGCTTGAATATCTTCTTCAGAAACCCTACGTTTACTGAGATCGATGTAACCCTTTTCCTTATCAACACGAAGAACCATCACCGGTTCAATTCTACCCACCTTGATGAGACTGCTAACACTACGAATTCGACGGCGAGAGAGTTCGGAAAACAGAATCATACCCTCGATGTTGTTGTATTCGAGAAGTGAAACGTAAGCACCCATGTCGGCTATGTTCTTGACCTGTATCATCACTGCCATGTCTACTTCTGGATATCGTGCCTCGTACATGCGACATTCCAAATTCGGAGCCATTGATGTTGGTTTTTTTTGCTTTGTGTTTTCTTCTGTGAATCGAACAAGATAACTGGTTTTGATTTAGTTTCTGTGTTTTGGTGATGAATTGAAGGAGAAGGATAAAAAGAGGGATGGTGGTGTTTCTGGAAAGAGGAAGAAGAAGAGGTTAGTGTGGCGGCGATTTGGGAGAGGAAAAAGAAGGGTTTTTGTGATAATGATGAAGACGAAGGGTTGAACGGTGGCGGAGATGAGAGGGTGGGTGGTTGCGGCGCCGATTTGGGAGAGGAATGAATTAGGGTTTTTTGGGGGGATGAATTGGGGACAGTTAGGGTTGCCCTTCAGAATTAGGGGCGGCCCTTATCCTTTAGGGTTTTGTGAACAGTGTCCTCTTCAATCAGAAATTCTCCCTTCTCTTTATTCTATTCATTCTCAACCCTAATGGGCTCGACGAACATGGGCCTTCCACCCATTTACCGTATCCTCAACCTTTTTTCCTTAATTCTTTCAATATTCTAATTAAAAAAAATATTGCTAAATATTAAATAAAATAACTAAAAACTAAATTAATATATTAACAACTATTATAAAATAAACTAAGAAAAAATAAAATAAAATAGAACGAAAATTTCAAAAAAAAAACTTTAGCCCACGTGTCACACTTTAATTGGATAGAAAAAATAGATAAAATTTGGAAAATCAATCAATTGCATGCGGACACGTGTCTAAATGTTCTGAAGTTAAGCAGACAATGTGAAATCAAAATAGAATTCAAAAATATAAAAATATTTGAAAAGAAGTAGGACAAATTTAAGGTATGACAGATGCAATGTGATATGCTAATGCAATGAAATAAAACATAAGCCAGAGAGGTCGGTCAAATTTTGGGGTACAACAGCTGCCCCTATTCAAGCGACTTAGACCTGAAGGGATGAAAGGTAAGCGACTTTCATACAATCAAGGTAAAAGACGGTTGAATACCCAAGGACCCGGAAATTTGACAACTGCGATACGAACTTCTGACATCGCCACCAGACACCCATATTAAGTAGAACGTCTGACCTCGCCGTCAGCTCCTTTAACAGCATCTAACCTTGCTGTCAGATCTCAGCGTCAAAATTATAAATCAACTGACTTTATCGTCGGTCTTCAATATTTTCTGACTTTGCCGTCAATTTTTCACAGGACTTTGGTAAAGCCCCTGACTTCGCCGTCAGCTCTTCAAAATAATCTCCTGACCTCGCCGTCAGTCCTTTGTTAAATACAAACAGATATTAACTCCAAAGATACGATCCTCTGACATCGCCGTCAAAACAAACATCCAACCTCGCCGCTGAACAAACAAATCGCTCTGACATCGCCGCCAGGAACAAACATCCAACCTCGCCGCTGAACAAACAAATCACTCTGACATCGCCGCCAGAAACAAACATCCAACCTCGCCGCTGAAACACTAAATTATCTAACATCGCCGTCAGAACAAACTTCTCAACATCGCCGTTGAAGAATATAAATACTTGACATCGCCGCCAAAACAGACTTCTCAACATCGCCGTTGAAACACTAAATCATCTAACATCGCCGTCAGAACAAACTTTTCAACATCGCCGTTGAAGAATATAAATACTTGACATCGCCGCCAAAACAGACTTCTCAACATCGCCGTTGAAACACTAAATCATCTAACATCGCCGTCAGAACAAACTTTTCAACATCGCCGCTGAAGAATATAAATACTTGACATCGCCGCCAAAACAGACTTCTCAACATCGCCGTTGAAACACTAAATCATCTAACATCGCCGTCAGAACAAACTTCTCAACATCGCCGTTGAAGAACCAAATCACTTGACCTCGCCGTCAAAACAAACTTCTCAACATCGTCGTTGAAGAAACAACTCATCTGACCTCGCCGTCAAAACAAACTTCTCAACATCGCCGTTGAAGAACCAAATCACTTGACCTCGCCGTCAAAACAAACTTCTCAACATCGCCGTTGAAGAATATAAATACTTGACATCGCCGCCAAAACAGACTTCTCAACATCGCCGTTGAAACACTAAATCATCTAACATCGCCGTCAGAACAAACTTCTCAACATCGCCGTTGAAGAACCAAATCACTTGACCTCGCCGTCAAAACAAACTTCTCAACATCGCCGTTGAAGAAACAACTCATCTGACCTCGCCGTCAAAACAAACTTCTCAACATCGCCGTTGAAGAACCAAATCACTTGACCTCGCCGTCAAAACAAACTTCTCAACATCGCCGTTGAAGGATATAAATACTTGACATCGCCGCCAAAACAGACTTCTCAACATCGCCGTTGAAACACTAAATCATCTAACATCGCCGTCAGAACAAACTTCTCAACATCGCCGTTGAAGAACCAAATCACTTGACCTCGCCGTCAAAACAAACTTCTCAACATCGCCGTTGAAGAAACAACTCATCTGACCTCGCCGTCAAAACAAACTTCTCAACATCGCCGTTGAAGAACCAAATCACTTGACCTCGCCGTCAAAACAAACTTCTCAACATCGCCGTTGAAGAATATAAATACTTGACATCGCCGCCAAAACAGACTTCTCAACATCGCCGTTGAAGAATACTAAATCATCTAACATCGCCGTCAGACCTTCGCTAAATATAAGCGAGCAACAAGATTCAAACGAAATTAAGACCATCCATTGGTGATAGTCGCAAAATAACTCCGCTGGGGAAACACCATAAGCTGGGGTCTAGCCAACACACGGGCAAAGATACTAATCATCTGCGAGATTCACTCGAAACAAAAGGGTAACGACCTGGCTTATGTTTCGCATGCATATGTTTGGATATGACGAAATGCTCCATGCGAAATGGAAATGCTTCGCATTTGGGTAGATGTTATGCATGAATGTAGATGCAAATGGACCAACTTTAGCAAAATAAATGCTAAAGAGAAAGAGCCAACTCCGTTGGGGGCAATGTCTGATACGCCTAGCGCAAACAAACTCATGCTGGGGAATACAAGCCTTGGATGGCCTCCGAGAAAAACTTCTGGGTAAAACTGCTTTGCTAAGAATAAATCCATTCCGCTGGGGATCCAAATCAAACTCTGTTGCGGAAAACGTCCCGGATGGCCTATCAGTCTACAACTCTTTTGGGGATCAAGCAACTTGGCTGGAGACAACAACTCCACTTCACCGGGGAAATCCGTTATGAATGATTAGCCAGAATAACTCTACTGGGGAAACACAACAGATTGCTGAGGAATAGCTCCATTCTGTCGGAGATTGAATCTGCTATCTGCTAGGGATTTTGAATAAGATTTACCGGGAGATTATCCCACACTCTCTCTGTTGAGGATGGAAATGAACGATCTTTGAGTCAGCCCTACTCTGTGGGGAGGAGGATTAATTCCACTGACTTGGCCGGGGATTAGATACGGAGGGAATCAACATCAATCTCTGCTTGGGGAAAATGATAAGTAAACTCAACAAATACGACTTCCGCTTGAGGAATGAGTCGATGACCTAGACTCTGAGGGGATAGAAGTCAACCATTTAGACTCTGTGGGGATAACAGTACGGCGCTCGCCCTACTGCTGGGGAAATAAACCCAAATCTGCTTTTATAACTCTGATAAGCTCTGAAGATATGGAGAGGAACACATCTCCTTTGTTTTCGATTTTGCCCCAGCCCGCGGGACTTTTGTAAAAACCTTCCTCGAAAGGAAACCTGAAATTTCGGTACCCTGATGGTTAGATATGAACTGCCCCAGCGCTTCGAACCCCGAAGAAGAGCTTCAAGTTAGTTTCCTTTCTGGATAAGGATAGTTGTCGTGCCCCTGGGGTGGCCTGCCTCAGCTTTGAAGTGATTTTGCCCCTGATTGGCTGAATTGGAGAGAAGTGCCCATGGCTGACTTCGAGAGATTTATCGAATCTCGACCTGATTGCCCCAGATTAACTGATCTCAGGATGGCTGACTCCCTTTATGATCATTTGATATGCCTTGCCCCTGCTCAACGGAGTACCCAGGCGTTTTGCATCTTATCTCGATCGAACCTTCCATTGTAGGAACTTTCCTGCTGTTAAGTACTCACTCGCAAGTAAAACAAATTGTTTTGCAAAGATAATATTAATGCAATGCATATGACAGTTTTGAAATCCAAGTCTGGTCACTGGAAAAAATGTGGCATTTAGTGAACGAATCACTTATCAGAAATATCAATATCCATACCCATAGGGTAAGAAAAATCCTTTTAGGAGTCAGTTTCGACGCGATCTTTACCGAAGTATGCTTTCGAAACAACTTGCTTCAATTAGGACTTTTGAAGGTTGTAACTTGGTCAGGTTCACGATTTGAAAGAAAAGATATGAGGCTCAAAGTTCTGTTTAACCCACCCACTCTCCTTAATATTCTCCAATCCTATGTTCAGCTAATTCGACACAAGCGCTCACCTCTCAAAGGTTGAATGACTGGAGTGATGGTTCAGGAAACCACAAGTTTCAGGAGTGGCAGTCACTCGCTCTTCGTCTTTGGTGCCTGGAGTCACACGACTTGTTTTTCATCATTTCATTCCCTATTTTTCCTGGACTGACTCTTTTGAGTATATCATTGATTTCAAAGTCCAACGGGATGCCCTTTAATTTTTGCCTAAGCCATTTGTTTTCAAGTTATCGACTTAGCGGGCTTTTTTTTTTTATTCTTTTTTTTTTGTGAACAAGTCGTATGACACCGGCTTGTCTGACTTGTTGAAAGGGTGGTGACCGTTCCACTCCTTGGTCAGTAATGGATAACCACTGTGATTCTTTAGGTACGACCTATACAGGTGTGATTGATCCTCGAACGGACGCTCCGTTTGTAATTCATATGTTCGGTCAAATTAACTGACGTCTACCCTGCCCTAGGTTAAGATTGAGGTTTTTTTCATTTTCAGAAAGAAACTCCTACTACTAGGCTCAAAGGGGTTGACAAGGGATTAACATCCTTATATCTCCGGTGTTTAGGAATTTGAAACAATGCCTGTACATCATCA